GTTGGGTGCTCAGGGTAACAATGAAAGGAGAATCTGTTGAGACAGTCACAGAGCTTTTCCTGGTCATTGTTTCTGCTGTTTCCTGATACCTTCTTGTCCTCAAGATTTACTGCTGGTAGATCAAAGCATCATCTTCCAAAGTAGTACCTTAATAAGATGGAGTGTGGGCCTTAAAAATAAATACCTTGATGTTTTTCTCCATAGATTAATTCAAACTGAGGTTGGTAAACTACGGACCACAGTCAAATCCTGTCCACTGCCTATGTTTGTAAGTGAATTTTTATTGGAACATGGTCGTGCCCATAGACATATTGTCTATGGCTTCTGTGACAGAGTTGAGTAATGTGAAGTGATGGAAAAGACTTTTTAATCCATCTTTCTTGATTTTGCAGGTGACTAAACTGAAAACATTTTGAATTTGTCCAACACCTACTTTGCTACTGCCACTTGGTGACAAACTCAGTTTTCCACCAAGGGCTAGGCACCTTTCCCAGCTGCCTTCAGCAGCATTCTTTATTTTTCAAGATGAGGTGAATAATATTACAGACTCATGCTGCTTTTTACTTTCCATATTGAGGTAGAATTCTGAAGCAGAATGATATGTATCTGTGTGAATTGGTTTGAGAAATTTTTTTTTCTTTTCTAAGGTATGGGACTATTTGAAATTTGCTAAAAGTTCACAGTATCCAGAGGATCAGTCTTATATTTAATTTTTGAGAATAAATCATGAGCTGGTGTGGTGGCACATGCCTGTAATCCCAGCACTTGAGAGGCTGAGGCAGGATTGCTGCAAGTTTGAGGCCAGCCTGGGCTATATAGTGAGTTCAAGGCCAGTCTGAATTATAGAGCAAGACCTTGTCTCAGAACCGTAAAACAAAAAGAATAAACCATGAAAATTTCAACTCTCAACTACTAATCCCAAATTTTAAAATTTAGAATTGGAAGAAATCTTTTTTTGTTGTTTTTTGAGGCAGTCTCGCTTTGTAGTTAAGGGTAGCTCTGAACTCTGTAGCCCTGGCTGGCCTTGAACTTGTGGCAGTCCTCCTGCTTCAACCTCTGGAATGCTGGGATTACAGATGTGTGTGGCTAAAAGTTTTCAAGCTAATACTATGCAATTTTTTTTTTTTTGGTACTGGGGATCGAACTCGGGTCCTTGCACTTGCAAGGCAGGCACTGGAACCACTGAGCTAAGTCCTGGCCCCTATAAGTGAATTTTAAGATTTATTCTGTTTCTAATCTTCAAGGCACAATATTCTTGCAGCATTCTAAGCATCTGTACATGATATTCTTTTTTTCTTTTAACTGCATTATTCAGCTTTTTCCAACATTTCCAAAATGTTTGCATTTGCTTAGACACCCCTGTATTGGCTCTACTAGCTGATCTTGTGTCTGTTTACAGTCCTGCTAGCTACACCCATAACTGTAAAGTTAAGGGAAAAACTGAAGTTTTACACATCTCACACCTAAGGGTATAAACAAAAAGGCCAAAAGCTTTCAAAGCTCTACATTAATGCACCCGCTTTAAATGCAAGTTTAGTCCAGTTGTGAGACTTGAATAACTTTAAGGTGAGAACCAAGAGTGTCTGTTTACCTGAGTCCAAGAATTTATCTGAAACAATGGTTCTTCCTTAAGTAATTCTCACCAGCACTTTGAGAGAGACCTGAATTTCCAGTGAGAATATATTTATACTATTGGCTAAGTGGTTGGTAGATACTCAAGCCAAGAGTTACAAAAATTAAAGCCTGTCCCCTTCCGTGAAAAAGAATTGATAGGCCACCTGAAAGAAATGATAAAATACTAGCAGTTTAATTGGAGGCTACTATCCATTGGAAGTGGAAATACCACACCTTTTTTTTTTCTTTTTGTGGTACTGTGGATTGAACATAGGATCTTCACACTGAGCTATATCCTCAGTCCTTTATTTTGAGACTGGATCTTCCTAAGTTAATAAGTTGTCCAGCGGGGCTTAAACCTGTGATCCTCCTGCCTCCCATTTCCTCGAAATACAGGGATTACAGGTGTGTGCTACCATGCCTGGATGCCACACACTTTGATAAGAATGAATATCCAATTAGGGAAACAGGATGAAAATCCTGTTCCTGTTTTGAGTGTGTCTTTGCAGCTTTAATTATATTAGCTCATGGCATTGTTTCTTTATTAGAAATCTTTTGTATTGCTGAACAGAAAGTTGTAAAGAAGTCCTGTGTCTTAAATTTTAAAAAAAACTTTCAGGGGCCAGGGATTTAGCTCAGTGGTTTCGCCACCTGCTGAGCAAGCGCAAGGACCCCAGTTAGATCCCCAGTACAAAAAAAAAAAAAAAAAAATTCAGTAGTCTGTGTTGTGAATAGAAACAGAAGAAATGTGATCAGTCTGTGCCTTAGATTGCTTTTAATGAAATGGTAGAGTGAAACTACACATGGATGAGACCATAACATACACAGTGCATCTTGGAATAAAGTCTTAATGATTGGGTGTATTCCATCTACAAAGGAGTGTGATGATAAATGTATTCATTTTGATTAAAATTTTCTCTGGAAAAAAATTTGTTTAATGTCTACTCTCAATACTGTCCTTGAATGAATTCATTTTAGTGTTATTGAAAATATGTATTTGACTTTCACATGCCATTACCAAAAGTATATATAACTTCAGGATAGGTAAAGTGCTTTTGTTTTCTGTTACATTTGATGTTTTAAAAATTGTTTTTGTTTAAAAAAGCACAGATTAAGGCCAGGGATGTAGCTCAGCGGCACAGCGCCTGCCTGGCAAGCGCAAGGTCCTGAGTTCGATCTCTGGTTACCCCCCCCCCAAAGCACAGTGTAAGTATACCTGATATAAGTAAATTATCACAAATGATAACCAAATTTATTTGATAATTTTAAATTTTTTTCATTATTTGGAAATGTAGAGTTAAAGTTAAAAATAGTAATTTCATAAAATTTCTGGAATTCAGAATTTGTCAGTGGGTGTCTCAAAATCGTAATTGAAGCATAGCCTTGGTTCATAGTTTTAAAATGCTGTATATGACTTCTGGTATTAAAGTGGGGGGTTTTTTGTTTTGTTTTGGTTTTGGTACCGGGGATTGAACTCGGATCCTTGTGCTTGCCCAGCAGTCTGCGAAACCACTGAGCTAAATCCCCAGCTGGTTTTTTTTAATTACACAAGTAAGGGCCGGGGATTTAGCTCACTGGTTCCACCCGAGTTCAATCCCCGGTACCAAAAAAAAAAAACCTGAATAAATTACACAAGTAATCTTGAATCCATGGTCACAGGAAGGGGGAAAAGACCCTCAACCAATATTGAAATACTTAAAGCATGTAAAGAATACAAGGTGAAAGTCATCTTATATAATCCCTATTCCTCTTCAGAACTGCCACTCACAATTTAGTGCACACACACCTTAGAATAATTTGTTTCACTTCTTTAATTTTTTAAAATCATAAATGGGGTTTTGTTTTACAGTATGTCACACAGATTTTGTTCCTTTGTAATGCTGTGATTTCTTTAATGGCCCTCCTAATGACGGATGCTTGTTTCCAGTTTTTTAACATGATAAAATTCCCTTGAACTTTGTCATTGTGAACTAGTCATAATGAGGTTTTCTTATTGACTAGTAGTTGTTTTGTATTTTGGGTATTACTGTTGATTATTTCTGGCACATATTTTTGCGTGTGTACTGATCCTGGAGGCTTTATGGATGTTTTAATTAATGATGCAGTCAAGTCTATTGATCTTTTCCTGTCATCTGTGTTTGATGGATTCTGGTATTTCAAATGATAATTCATTTCCCCCAAGATGTTTTCATTTCTATTTTTAACTGTCACTTGTAAAAAACACTTTTTATAGAACCCTATGAATGAGATAGATAATAAGATGTATGTAACACATTGTGATGATCTATAATGATCACATAAGGATCAGTAACTTTCGATTATTATTTCAGTTATAAAATAAACAATGTATTACAGAAAAGTATTGGGGGTTTTGTGTTATTTGTGGAATGACTATAGGTAGTCCCTCATAATAAATTTACTTTGTAGGTAATATACTAGCCACTGAGAAAAAGTGGTACACTAGAAATATCTCCTTCCTTCCTAAATCTTTTGGACAGGATTGCTTCCCCAATTAGAAATTTCTCTAACCTCCATGTAAGTAGGAATTGTTACTGCTGCCATGCAGTATCAGATGACCCAGTAGAACTATGCTCTTAGCAACACGTGAATCAAAAATTAAAAAAGATCGATCTTGACTTACCTAGAATTTTATAGTTAAACTTTTTTTTTTTTTTGGTACTGGCGATTGAACTTGGGTCCTTGCACTTGCGCAGCATATAGTTAAACATTTTTAAAGTATTATTTCTCTGTATGTCCATTTGTATGTAGTGTAATGTTGCACACTGTACATGGATGAGAGAGACACCACGACTTCAGTATTTGGGGGCTCTGTAGTCATTTATTCCACCTTTCTACCTTGATTTTCTGGAACTGGGGCTGATTTTGTCCTACCACTAGTAATCTCCTGTGGAAGTAGCTTACAATTTTTTTGCTTCTTCCCTGTCATAGGAAGAAAAGAAACTTAGGTATACCATGAGACCAGTATCTCATAGACTCAGGTCATTAGCTTTCCTCCACTTTCTACTCTCCTCAGTACCTGATTGGTGCAGTTTTTTAAAATTGTGGTTTTTGTTGCCACCCCTCCTCCCTTTGTTAGTAGGGAGAGATTCATAGGAGAGAGGAATCATTTCCCACATAGAGTAATATTTCCATTCAGAAGAAACAGCTAAAAGAAAAGAAAGATTTTTGAAGGGACAAGAACTTTTATAGCTGAGCAAATTTGGACGTTTGCTAATAATTCAGCTACATTATATTTTTATAAGATATGTAAGTGCATTTGCTAACCTGACCACCACATATACCTATCTCTAACTTGAAATTTGCCTTTAACATCACGAAAATACAAAGCACTGTAGTGCTTGTAACACTCTTCCATATTATTGTAGGTAACTAAATGACCATGGAATCTGGAGCAGAGAACCAGCAGAGTGGAGATGCAGCTGTAACAGAAGCTGAAAATCAACAAATGACAGTTCAAGCCCAGCCACAGATTGCCACATTAGCCCAGGTATAAAATACATGGAGAGATTGCAAGCTGTGTCTCTTCTAAGAGGAATGTTTCCAGAAGAACTTAGTTTTTACTACAGAGATACACAGTGAGCAGAGATGTTCTCAGAATATCACAATGATGATATAACAGTAAAATGTATCATTAAACACTAATACAGTATATTTGTAGTGACATGATCCACAAATTATTACATTTTTAACAATATATAAACTAATTGGATCTCAAGGGAAGAAAGCCTTGGCTGTAACAGCTGCTTTTTAAAATGTATGTAACACACAGTGGAAGTCAGGTAATATGAAAGCCAAAGTTTATATAAGCTTAAACTAAAAAAAACAGGATAAATAAGTTGACATGCAAGTAAATTTTAAGGATGATAGTTTTTGTTTCCTATATATTTTAACTACTGTTCCTGACTGATTTTTGTCTTTGTCTTAAAAATCCTGCCAATAAGAGTATGTTCTCATACTTTCTGTTCTCATGTATTTTTCCTCAAATATTTTATTAACAACTACCTGGGTATTAGTGGGAAAGATGGTTAACATAAAAACCAGATAAGGGCCAGGGATATAGCTCAGCAGCTCTGTGCCTGCCTGGCAAGTGCAGGGTCCTGAGTTTGATCCCTGGTACTGGAGAAAAAAAATAAGAGGATAAACCTGCTAGGTAAAAGTGTAACAGTCTGTTTAAGAGGAGGGTTCTCAGTATAAAGTAATCCTGGCAGAAGCTAGACATACTAGAGTTTTTCTCAATTTAAAAGCTCCTACAGAAACCACTGAGCATAAATGAGTCTTGTAAAATAGCAGGCTCACCATAGTTGGTGTGGGAGGGCTGTTTAACTGATATAAAGCATGGGCCAGATACTGGCCTCCAGCAGGAATTTGGTCAGGAGGAATGGCTGCTCTGCCTTCTTTCCTAGAAGTACCAAGGCCCACCTCCAGCCCTCTGGAGTAAGACAAAACCAAATACACTTAAAGTGTATATTCAGATGAGGCAGGGGCTTGATCAATGCAGGATTGAAATAAGCAAACACAGCTACGACTCTAGGCTCATCCAAGCATCCTGTCCTCTAAGGAAGATGCCAGCAGACATGATGACAAGCCTCAATATGACTGTCCCTTTGTTCACACTACTCTGCCTTGCCTGATTGTCCTCTGATTTGCTGCATAGTGTCATCCTGGGAGTTCTCACTCTACTTGTTTTGTGGAGTTTCTCTTACTGTTGTAGTAGAGCATGTATTTAATGGTACCTTGAGGGAAAAAAAGTTTGGATAAAGAATTGTTTCTTTTTTTTAATTTTGAAAGCATTAATCCACGGTAACTTATTCTAGTGCTACTGGAAAGGCTAATTCTTCTTTTGTATCTCTGGTATCCTATAAAATTTCTTTGGTCACAGTACTTCAAAATTTCATTATCACAGGCATTAATAAACGGGATCAGTTTTTAACCTCTGTATTCAGAGGTCCCTTTTATGGTGGAAATGCATGTCTTCGCTTTTAGGCGCTTTTGTTTAAATTATTATTTGATTGATGGTTTTTTCTTCTATTCTTTCTTATTTCTCTGCAGGATCCTGTAGTCTAGACATTCTATCTGTAGGACAGTTTTTCTCATTTTCTCTGCTGAGTTCTTTCTGCTTTGCTGCCTGGGAGCTTTCCTTAACATATTCCAACTCATCTATTGAACTTTTTGTTTCCCATTGTCTTCTCCTCATAGAGCTCCGTATAGCTCCCCACTGCCATTTGTTTTGCTCTCCATCCTTCACTTTAGAGGCTTTCCCCATATGTTTGATAATTTGTGATTGACTTCTCAGGTTTAAAAGCGACCTAGAGAGTGAAGTGTGCTTAGCATATGTGAGGCCTAGGTTCAATCCCTAGCACCAGATATGAGTAAATAAAAGTGGACTAAGAAGTGTTATATGTGGATATGTTGGGCCTAATAGCTGTGAGGTGCAAGCTTCACTGTAAGTGGTTGTGGTTGTCCTAATAACAGTATCTTTCACTCTTTATATTGAAGTCTTGGGTTCTGCAGAGACTTCACTAATCCCCTGGTTGTAGGGAAAAGTACTCCGAGCCAAGTGAGAAAAGAGGGCTAGAGTTTAGTAGCTACCTTCAGCAATGCCTGGTGTTAGGCGTCAAGAAACCATCCAGAGAGCAAATCTCCATTTTTCTGTCAAAGTGTGGTAGATTTATTTGTTCTTCCATAGGGAGTTAGAGAGAGGATCTAATTGTTTTTCACAGAGTCTTCAAGCAGCCTTCCTTATTAGCAGTTTCTTTTTTCACTGTACCTCCTATGGTGCTGTAAATCCCAGCCTCTGGATTTTTGTGCTGCAGATCAGACTGTCTCTCAACTCATGCGTTGGCCATCTGAAATCTTCCCAATTCATTTATCTGCACTCCAGCTTCCTATACTCTTTATTACTATTCCGTCCTTTCTCATTCTTCAAATATTTGTGTATAAGTATGCCTATAAAAATGAAATTAATTTAATGAAGTATAATTGGGGATTCACGGGAGAAAATTATATGCACATGTTCAAATTCTCCTTATCAGATGGCCGTTACTGAAGACTTAAAAGTGGAGTCACATAATTTGAGTTTTAGGAAAGCTAGTATCTCTTTCCACTTACATATATTCAATTCTTTTGGAGGGAAATGCTCTTGGTTTCAATTTAAGTTAAAGGGTAAAAAAGGATGATCATTGTAGCTTTCTTGTCATAAGCAGATTTTAAAACGTAAGTAATAAGGAATTTGTTAAGCAAGTTATATACTTTCTTATGTAGCCATTAAACTATTAAAGGAAACTATTAATAGTGTGGGAAAATGCTATATATTTAAAAACAAAATATATTTACAAACAAAAAAATGTATTGTAAAAATTGAATGTTCTCATGTGCCTTAAAAAAAATTTTAAAAAAAATTTACAGCAAAAAAATAACTAATGATGAGCTTTTAAGTAGAAGGAATGTAAGGAATTTTTATTTTGTACTTTATGCATCTGTTTTATGAACTTAAAATGAGAGAAGCCATTATGAAGAATGATCATTGTAGAAGAGGGATTGAGTTCAGCTTGTTATATTTACCCTAGAGGGCTTAGGAAAGACAACATAACAATTGCTTTAAATATCAGGAGAGCTTTTCTATGGAAGACCAGATAATACTATGAATAGTCTTAAGGTTTGCCTCAAACTTCAGTGAAGGGGAAAGTATTGTTGGGTGCTTTTTAGACTGATTTTGCAAACAGTGTGACTCTAATATGGGTAATACATATGTGACATTTTTAGAATCAGGTAAAACCTTTAAAAAGATTTAAAGTGGCCAAAAGAAAATAATGATAGATTTCCTTTTCCAAACTGTCAAAAGAAGCTCCTTGTTTTAACCAGTGTGCAAAAGACTGTGGTAGTGATCTTTTCCCAAAGCTTCAGAGTCAAATATTTGTCTGCTAAACATCCTTGCAAATTAATGTTAGCTCAATTCCATCTTCCATCACAGTCCCAACCACACAAGACCTTGTTATGTTTTATGTTTCATTTGGTGATTATAGCTTACCAGTTCTCTCATGTGAACCATGTGTCATTTTTTATTCCTCTTACCTCTTTCAACCAATCATTCATAAAGCCCTATTTGGTCTGCCTCCAAATTTCTGTAAAATCACTCAATTCCCATCCCTATCACTACTGCTGCCTTGTTTCTGGCCTTCATCATCTCGCCTTAACAACTGTACAGGCTTCTCATTTGCTCTCTCCACCTCTAGCATTTTTCTCTCCCCTGAGATTTGTATCTTTTATACTACCACTAAAGTGATCTATCTAAAATGTATACCTTGGGCCGGGGATTTAGCTCAGTGGTTTCGCCGCCTGCTGCACAAGCGCAAGGACTGGAGTTCGATCCCCGGTACCAAAATAAAGTAAAATAAAATAAAATGTATACCTCGCTGTAATATTCAGGAGTTCAAAGGACCTTCAGTGTCTTCCCCATACTCTGCAGGATAAAATGTATGCTCCTTCCTGTGACACACAGGTGATCATGACTGGCTCGGTTACCCCTGCCCACCTCTGTCACTGTCTCTCCTCCTACTTCATGCTAACACTGCACTCCATTAGCTCTCAATTCTCTTCATCCCTCTCTGTCATGTAGACAGGGCTGCTTCTCTTTGCTTTTTTTATTGCTGCCTCAGAAGTTTTATGCCTTCCAGTCTACAAGTCACAGTAGTGTTGTGTCTAACTTGTATTCTCTGTTTCAAACTCACATTCTTTCCTGGTAGCCTCCCCTCTTAGGTTCAGTTGGATAGCTTTGCTGAACACAATATGTCAATTTTTCTCTTAACAAACTTCTTACTCCACTGAATTATACTTACTAAAATATCTTCCCCATTTCTTTACACACACATACGCATACACACACACACACACACACACACACACACGCGCCACTAATTTCGAGGTCAGGACTTGTACCTGTGTCATTTTTGTAGTTTTAGTTAAAGCACTGTTACTGGCACATAGGTCCCAGTAGGTTTTTACCAAATGAGCCAATATCATCCCTACTCTTAAGTATATTGGAGCATAAAAACAATAAATACTATCTGATAGACATGTGTGACTTGTAACTTGAATATTGACTCATTAAAATTGCCACCTTTGTGCCTCAGGAGAAAATTGGTTTCTCTTATATTCTTTCAACTCTGCCCCTTTATTAAGAATGAAAACAAATTCTTAAAACACCAGCTACCTACCAGTTTAGTGATTTTCAAGGATATGAGGAAATTGACTTTTTCAATTATAATGCCTGTTAATGCTTTCTCATTAATAAAAAAGTATATGCATAATTAGTTTAAAAGAGAAAACTAGCTGCTTATTACTAAGGTGTATATTTGTTACAGACTTAGTTTAGGTCAATTTTGCCCTGAGAACAATTAAGATTTTAGAACATGGCTTATTTAACAAGATATTTTGAAAACTTTTATGTTTCTTCAAGGCTAGCACATCTGTTGACCTTGTGTTAATTAACCTCTTTGAGCAGTTATTTTTGTCTTAAAATGGAGATAGTATTTATTAGCCTTTAGTCTCTTCAGAGCAAAACAAGAAATCGGTTATGAAAGCAGACAGGAAAATATAAAAGTGCCTTATAGAGTGAGTGGTATTTAGTGTTCAGGGGAAGTGTATGTTGCATATTTTGATACTACATTAAAATAAATTTTTATTGGTCATTTGGGAATGACTGAAAAGAGGAAGGGAGGGGGCCTATAGGGCTTTTATTTTTTAAAAATATTAAAATTTAATTATGGGTTTCTTTCACTTCATTGAAATACTAATGTAGCAGAAAGGTCATATTTTTGCTTCTGAAAAGTTACTTTATATTGAACCTGAGTAGTTCCAAGGAGGTATTTGTAATGGTAATTTTTTTCCATGTTCAACACCATAGGTATCTATGCCAGCAGCTCATGCAACATCATCTGCTCCCACCGTAACTTTAGTACAGCTGCCCAATGGGCAGACAGTTCAAGTCCATGGAGTTATTCAGGCGGCCCAGCCATCAGTTATTCAGTCTCCACAAGTCCAGACAGTTCAGGTATGTGTATAAAAAGTTTTGCGTATACTTTTGTAACTATTGTTTATAGCTATTTCTGTCTCCTTTCATTAGTTACAGAACTAAGGGCACATCTAGTTCATAATTTTATGTCATAATGAAGGAATATGCTGCATCTGGATAGTCATATAGGAACATATATACACAAAAGCAGACATGAAGAAAATGACTTTTTCTTAAGCTGCAGAAAAAATGAGAATTGATTGGGGAAAATAGTTAAGTACATGGGATAAAGTAAAATATTTGGGAGAGACTGTAAAGCTGATGAACCTCTGTTAAGGAAAATTAAGATATATAGATAACTTTGTAATAATATTCTAAATCTCCATTTAGGTGAGAAGAAAAGCCTTGATAAAAAAATTATTAACCTTATCTGAGGTATTATTTGGATTTAGTGATCACGTACAACTTTTGTAGTACTGAATTTTTTCAGGGCTTTTGGTTAGCGTATACAACTTGGAAATAATAGTGTATTCAGAAGGTACATTGATCATACTGCACATTAGCTTATTCCTTTGGGTTTGTTCCCTTTGGTTTGAATCCAAAGAGAATAAAGACACTCTGGACTTCTGAAGGTGACTATTTAATTGTAAGGAACCAAGAGCAGTATAGATCTTTGCAATTGAGCTTACTGAAGGGAAAACAAAACAAAACAAAAAAAACTTAATGTTCATTCAAGTAGGCTGTAACCCCAGCCTCCCATTTCATATTTTTTGCTTCACAGTCTTCCTGTAAGGACTTAAAAAGACTTTTCTCCAGAACACAGGTGAGTCCTAGGTCCTAGATTTGAAGAGAACTATTATTAGAAAGGAAGGTGAGAAGTCATCTTTATGTCTTTGTCCTCTAAAAACGTGGAATTTCAAGGTTTAAGTAAAATCCTTAGAGTTCTTCTACTGCTAGGCCAAACTTGTTACCTACTCAGCCCTTAATTTATTATTTAATTCCTCTTTATAACATTTCTCCTCCTCCACATGATATTCTAGCATTATGTGAGCACTTTCAGAAAAAGGAAGTTCTGTCTCCTAAGGTGATCTACTTAACAGGAGTGATTTCTAAACGATTCCTTATGGTATTGAGCCAGAATATATTTTTGTAAAATTGTCACATGGTATTCCCAGTTCTGTCCTCAGAAACAAGATTAACAAATCTGATTCTTTTTCTATTGGACTGCTTCCTCTTCTCCTACCGCTATATACTCTGCCTATTTATAAGAAAATTTTCAGACTCAATAAACTCTTATTTCTCTTCAGCCTTGTATTGTATTGTGTACTTTTGATTCCTCTTCACCATCCTGGTTGTTTTCTTCTAGGTGAAAGCTTTTGTACATGATAACCAGAACTGATTGGTATTTGTAGAGGGAATAAGTATTCTCTTTGTCCTTGAAGCTTTTATTAAGGACATACTAGATTTTCTTTTTTTTTCCATGTTATATTGAGTCATTGAGCTGCTATTACCTCCTATTTGGTTTTGTCTTGGGATTTGGTTTGCTTCAGCACTTACCTGTGGTTGGGATATAATGTTTTTGTGTGAAATCATCAAATTGTATAAATTTCTATAAGATACTTAGAACAGATTTTGCTAGCAACTAGGATATAGTGTTAGCCAAATAAAGATCTAAGTATCTGGTATTTCTGTGAACTCACAATCATGAGTTCTTTGCCTTAGTTTTTCTTTCATTTCATACTACCTTACCATTCTCCACACAGTATCCCATTACTAATTCCCCACCTATATCTTCCTCTTGATTAAAGTGGAAAGAACTTGACGTGCTTGTCATGAAATCTAGATTCCAGACCCAGTTTGGATATTACTAGGTCAAATGACCTTGGGCATGTCCACCTTTTTTTTTCACTTAAGATCTCTGTAAAACAAAACAAAAATTACTAAAATTACAGCCACATTTATAAAGACTTGATATTTGTTGATTATGTTCTTAATTCTAATCTCTATTTTGGAGCAATATAATTTGAACCTGGGGATTTTATGGCCATTTCCTTTATAGAAGTATGTATTCATCTTTTTAGGAACACATTTGCCATTAAAGTGAGCTATGCTTATAATTTAAAATGTGTGTATTTGCTAAGGAAAAGTTGGACCTTGAAGACAAGCATCTACAAATAGAGACACAAGTGTACTTTCCTTTAAACGGCCTAAACCCTGGAGCATCTATTAGACTTAAATAGTCACTTCAGCTGACTAGCAGTGATTAATACTACTAACCAGTAAATAGTTTACATCAGAAAAGGACCTCAAACAAGGACAGGAATTTTCTCATGTCTAGATAGGAGAATATTAGTATTACCTAACAAAATTTCCAAAATGCACAAGTACATTTCTCTTGATGGGAGAGTAAAATATTTGGATTTCTGGTTATATATTTTAATTTTAGAATATTAGAAACTGAGCTGTACTGATATTTCATATACAGCTTGATTTTGGTGCCCTAACTATTAAATAAATGAGTAATATCTCAGGTTATGTGAGATTCCTCACAAAAGCAATGGGAGTTACACAGTGTATAGGGGTTGACAGTGGCACCCTTGCTTTCATTAGTTTTGGCCACATTTCAGTGTAGGGCAGTTTAAATGTGCCAGACACAGGATTTATAAATTATATTATTTTTAAATTATTTCATGTTTCTTTAACAAATGTTTATTGATCACATGCTATGTGCCAGTCATTGTTCTAGGTACTATCACAGACAACAGTGAACAAACAGTACGTCTCTATTTTCATGAAGATCACATTTGAGTGAAGAGAGACAGACTATGAAATAAAATATGTCAGGTGAGGATAAGTGCTGGAGAGGTTAATAAAACAGGGAAAAGGGCTAGAGAAAGATGATGTGGGAGAGGTGTTCGATTTTATGTGAGGTGGGGGGAGTGCTGAGGAGAGACCAAAAGACCGTGAGGGCAACTAAGCCAGGCCTATAATAAAAGCAAATTCAAAGGTTTGAAAATAAAAGTGCTTGGGATATCAAGGAATAGCAAGTTGTTGCTAGAATAAAGGAGAGTGGTTGAAGATGCAGCTTTTGATAGAATCTTTTTAATACTTTGTAATATGATGGGGTCAGCACTAAAAATTTGTACAACATTGAAGTTCTGTGCTTATGATAGTAACATGGTATTTAAGAGTTGTATAACTTGGGGCTGGGGATTTAGCTCATTGATTCTGCCACCTGCCTCACAAGAGCAAGGTCCTAAGTTCGATCCCAGGTACCAAAAAAAGAGACTTGTATAACTTAAGGATAAATAGTGTTGTTGTTTTTTTTTAAACATGAGACAGTTGTTCCAAAGTTTCTAATCTTCATGATGATGACAAAGACTTAACAAGGCATATATTATGTGACAGATATTTTTGAAAAGAATACAATTGACATCCTTTCTAGGAGGAAGTGATATTTTAACCATGAATGAGAGAATAGCTGCTTTTTGACAGAAACTTGTGCGGTGGAGAGAGCATTTTGAAAATAGAAATTGAGAAATCATCCATACTTTTTTCCACTGCAAGCAGTGTCTATTGTCTCCTCTAATAATTTAAATTTTTATACTATTACAACCTTAGAAATATTTCCTAAACTGTTCAGAAGCCTTACAGAGTTTTGGCACATGTTGAACTTATTTGTTAAAAATACAAAATTGGGGCCAGGGATTTAGCTCAGTGGTTCCGCCGCCTGCTCTGCAAGCACAAGGACCTGAGTTCGATCCCCGGTACCAGAAAAACAACAACAACAGCAAAAATACGAAATTGTAGCTAGGGTTGGTAGCACCTGCTTGTAATCTCAGCTACCAAGCAGACTAAGGGAGGAGGTTTTCAGGATCAAGGCTAGGCTTGGCAACTTAAGTGGGAGACTGTCTCAAAAATAAATTTTTTTTTAAAGGGCTAACATATGGTTCAGTGGTAGAGCCTTTGTCTAGCATGCCCAAGGCAAGGCCCTAGGTTCATTTTCCAGTACTGCTGAAAAGAAATTGTAATAGCTTCCTCTTAACTGTGCAGTAACTTACTTAAAGCCGGAGAGTGAAAATACACTAGCTAGATGTCATAAATGGTAGGTGACAATGAAAAATGATTTTTTGTAAGCACAGCTTAAGTAAGATACATTTACTTTTGTGATCTGTGTATTCTAAATTATGAGTTACCTTTTTCAGAACTAGTAGATACTAAATCACATTTCCAGAAACCTAAGCTTAGATTATTTCTAAATCAGTGTTACATTGATGATCTTTAATGGGGTATATTTAATCACATTAGTTCACCATAGTGAAAAATGATTTATTTTTAAGAAACTTAAAATTTCAATATCTGTATTTGTTTAAAAACTCTTACTGTATAATATAAACAACACACTTAAAAATTTGCAAGTAAGCAACACATGGCTGAGCTAGTGTGATGGCACACATCTGTAATCATAGCATTTTGGGAAGCGGATGAGGCAGAAGGATCAAAATTTGTCTGAAAATAAAAAGGACTGGGGATGTAGCTCAATACAGAGGCCCTGGGTTCAGTCACTAGTACTACAAAAAGAGGTGGGTGTATGTGAAGTTTTCTTCTTTGTATAGATCTGCAGATCAAAAGTTTGAAGATCAGTGTTTGAGACTTCCACTAAGTATATTGATCCAGTGAATTAAAAAAAATTTAAACCAGGGAAAGTATGTAAGTTTTCAGTGGATTGTGTATAATTTTCCCAAAAAACCCCTAACATTTTACCATTGCTTTATTTTGAAATTTCAAGTGATAAAAACGAGGGCTTTTCCCTGTCATATAAACAGGAGCTATCATTTTTAAACAAATCAAAGTTGAGAAATGCAGATCTAAAACTTTTTAAGTAGTGGTTTGGCTCTTTGAAATATTTTGACTGTCACAAGTAGCCAAAATTAAAGATCTACTTAAAGAATTCAGGAAGAAGTTAATAAGTGATGTCAAGAAGTGAGGACAGGAGGGATTCCATCATTGAAGTGTGATAATTGTAATAATTTGCTAAATGTATCGAACTATATCTATAAAATGGATTTTTACATGATTTCTTTTTTTAGTCCGGTATGGGTTGAGTTTTTTAACCCCAAAATTTTAGCAGTTTTAGGTTCACAACAAAATTGAGAAAAAGATGAGAGTTCCCATGTACCCTGTGGCTTCACACATACATAGCCCTCCCCATGTTGACTTTCCCACACAAGGTTGGTACCGTTGTTAAAATCAGTGGACCTATATGGACATATCATAATCATTCAAACTCCATAGTTTCAGTCTTGATGTTGGTACATTCTGTGCCAGTGATTTTTGTTTTGTTTTGTCTGAATTCCTTTTGTATTAAAAGATAATTAATGTAATCTATTAAATAGTGGTCATTACTTTTGTCTGAATTGACAAAATCTCATAGATTGGAGGAGGGCAACCTTTTTTGTACTAAGTGTCATAATCCACTGAGTTTGGGGAGGAGAGATGAAAGATCACATACAAAAAAAAGTAATACTTAATTTCCAAACTGTCCTGTGGGTGGTTTATATAGCTTGTTTTAATGAGTTTCACATCAGAAGGAAATGTTCCTAAATCATAAAATGTCCTTAAGAAGTAGTTGTAAGGATGGCGCATGTGTGAGTCAAGCAGAGGGCAAAGAAAGAAAGCCCAGAGGAAGTGTTAGGATTTTGAATGGAGTATTTATTAATTAAAAAAACAATTTATCACAATACTGTTTACTTTGACCTTAGTTTTGTTGTTTCTGGAATTTCTGACACTCTGCTAAGTCCTTTTCACAGTTCCTGATCTGCTCTACATCTCTGAGAAAGTTTGTGCAGAAACTATGTTGACGAAACTAACTACAACAGCTATTGATGAATGGAAAATTTTTCTACATGCTTCTTTAGCAGTAATCTGTAGCATTTTTAATCTGTTAAGAATCATAGACTAAATTCAGCCTTGCTCGTGGTCTTAGCTATCCTTTCTGGATTTGTTAATCCTTGCCTGCTTTTTAAAGTCTGAAAGATTTTTTATAGTGTGAAAAACTGTACTACCTCTACTTTAAAGGATTTGGATGGGTACATTACCTTATTATAAGTATACTTTGCAAAGTGTTACTAGATTTACCTGATTTTTTTTTTTAAGTGATGATGCATGTCACAAAACACTGTCAAAATAAGTACCCACTCTCTAGAATCCTTAGGCTTGGACTACATAAAGAATACCTTTGGAGTTTCTCAGGTACCTCTGAATATGATTTTTCTTACTGCCACTGTCATACACATATTTTGATGAGCTAACCCTTTTATCTTGGTTAGATCTAATTCTCTTTCTAACAGCATCATGTGCACCTGGTTTAGGAAAGAGCCTGAGGCTTCAGCAGTTTAGACTAGAGAAAACTGGCAATATAGATTTATCAGACAAGCATAGGTGAGGGAACTGCTAGTCTAGAAATGGTCTAAAAAATGCTACTGGGTTGTTGCTTCTGCCAGCACTGGTTTGAGGCTGAAAGTACCAGGATTTTGATACTGTTAAGGATCTCTAAATGCTAAGTATTAACAGGAGAGCTGCTGCTTCTTAGCTTTGTCACTTTGCTGAGTTTTAGTTAAGGTTAGGTACCACTTAGTGCCTGATGTTACTATATTAAGTAATGTAAGTACTTTAGCATAGCACCTTGCACATAGTAAGTCATCCATAAATTCTAGTTTCTGTTGTTCCATGTAAATCTTTATTCACTTATCTTCATTATTTTTTAGTCTAGGAATACTTAACCAAAACTACCTTGAATGTTTGTTTAAAAGTAATTGTAAAATGCCGGGGATTTAGCTCAGTGGTTCTGCTGTCTGCCTCACAAGTGCAAGGTCTTGACTTCAATCCCCGGTAACAAAAAAAGAAAATTAAATAAAAAATAAAAATAATTGTAAAATGCTAGCTTTGAAACATGTCTATTTGTAGTAAAGAACTTTATATAAAGTTGCTAAAACAAGTATCTGGAAGGTGGTGAGGGGTAGCCAATCTTATTTGTATTACTGTAAATGTACTTGTGACGTTTGCACAGTAAAGGAAAATACTTGTATAGATTTAGGACCAAATATTTAGTCTTTCCACTACGTCCAAAACCTTATTTTTGTTGGTGATTTTGTTATAATAACTATAAGACAAAAAACTGACAAGTAATAACTAATGCATCCAAGACTGATTACATGGAGTCCTGAAAGAAATTAAGGACAAATGTTTTAATTATAAAATGTTACGGGAACTAAGTTTGATTATCATGATAAAGCTCTTCTTTATTTTCAGATTTCAACTATTGCAGAAAGTGAAGATTCACAGGAATCAGTGGATAGCGTAACTGATTCCCAGAAACGAAGGGAAATTCTTTCAAGGAGGCCTTCCTACAGGTATGAGATTTAATAATTAGAATCCAAGATTGCAGGAAATCTTAGCTGTAGATAGAGATGTCAAAAGCCCAGTTAACTGCTCAAGCCAGTACCATAAAGATTACTTCTCCCTAATACAGTGAAGCTTATTGTACAGAAAGATCACTTCTTGCTCTAACAGTCTTGAATAAACATTGATTTTTTATTTTTCAGACTGTGCTGGCTGCTGCTTTTCTGTTTAAGTTTAGAATACATTTGATAAAGTTATTGCATTCTCTAGTTGTGTCATTTCTAAGGCTATGCGAGCTTCACCTTTGCAAACCATGTGTTATGCTATAATACTTAGCAGATAACTATTTTGTAGTAGTTGCAGTGTGGTACTTTGCTAACATCCTTTTAATTTCAGGGGCACTTACTATAGTGGATATTGCCTGACCTATTGCTTGCCTCCAAAATAGACCAAAACTATTTATTGTATGTAAAAATTGGCTCCATATTAAATATCTCCAGGAAGGACATGACCACAGATCTTATTAAGCTTAAAGTTTAATAAACTTCAGACTTAAAATTCTCTTCTTTGTTGTAAGTCTAAATTACTTCTATTTATGTATATTTCCTCCCCCTTTAAGTGAGAAGTTATTTAGTTACTAAGCTAGCCCTTTTCTCTGTCCTCATAATCAAATTAAAAATCCTAAGTGAATATTGATAAATTGATTTTGTTTGTTTTTGCTTTTTTTTTGTTTTGTTTTGGTACCGGGGATCGAACTCGGGTCCTTTTGCTTGCGAGGCAAGTAGCGGAACCACTGAGCTAAATCCCCAGCCCCGTTTTTACTTTTTGAGACAGGGTCTCACTATGTAATTTAGGCTGGCATTGAACTATGCATCCAAGGCTGGTCTTGACCATGCAGTGACCCTCTTGCCTCAGCCTCCTGAGTTGCTGGGATTACAGGAGTGCACTACTACACCCAGCTTGATAAATTTTTGAGGTCTTAAATTTTATGTTTCTAGGTATATGTTGAATGAACATACACTCAAGGCATATCTTAGCTGCAGGCCTTCTAAGTCACAGCTTTTATGTTGAAAAAAAATCTCTGATTTAATTGTCTTGTAGCCTTAATCTTAGCAATAATCACTGAAATAATTACACCTTAATAATCAAAGTAAGATGCCATGAGACCAGACACATCCAGAGAAAGGTTTGTGAAAGATATTGGTATTCTTCCTTACAATCAGACTTCTACACAGAGGTACCATTAAGTTTATGAATTCCTGAAATATAGCCCCTATGTCTTGATTATAGCAAAGTAACAAAGTTCTTGTGATACTCTTACAGGTTGGGGAAACGGGTTAATTGATAGTACTGGAACAACTTGTTTTTATAGTGATTAATTTATACCTAGAATAAGTCCTTGAAAGGCCCTCCACTTGTCCTGATTTGGCTTGATTTTTTTTTTTTGTACCAGGGATCAAACTCAGGTCCTTGCGCTTGCAAGGCAAGCGACGGAACCACTGAGCTAAATCCCCAGCCCCGGCTTGATGTTTTTAACAGCAGTGTAGCTGAAAAACATGAAGTCATGTTCATCAAACTTGCATGTGATAGAAACTTAAATGATAAGTACTCTGAGCGGTAGGCAAGTGAGTACTTTGAAAGCATAGCAGCCAAGGGAAGTAGGCAAAAATAAGGTGATAGTAATAATTGTATAATTTCTGAATTTGAGTGTAAAATAAAACCAGTTATTCAAGTATCAGATTCTGGATTAAAAATTCATGGGAAAAAGCTACTTCGCTCTTCATAATTGATGTAACATGGTCCCACCACCACCACCACCAGTTCCCCAAAGCCAGTATACTATAAGGCTCTATTAGTAGTAAAAAACCTAGTGTCTAGACTAGTGGAGGGAATGAATCCCACTACTTAGACCACATCTGGAATATACTTTAAAAGAGTGAAATGTATCCAGGGAAGATGACTGAGATGGTTCGGAACAGTGATAATAAACAGCCCACTGCAGCATGTGTACCATAGGTTCGCCACAGTGGTTTAGCAGATGAGTAACTTATAAAAGTGGAAAAGAAGAGTAAGAATAATCATGTAAAAGAGATGAAGAAATATATATATATTTTTTTTTTGGTACCAGGGATCGAACTCGGGTCCTTGCACTTATGCAGCAGGCGGCGAAACCACTGAGCTAAATCCCCGGCCCCAAAGAAATATATTTTCATAGTACTTTTCTATATATACACATACAGATACACACATATATAAATATATGGTTTTTCTTTATTTTGTTTTATTTCTTATATTTGGCATCACTGATTCCTTTGGAACTTTTTCTTAAAATTTATATATTTTTAACTTGTGGTCTCTCTTTCTAGGAAAATTTTGAATGACTTATCTTCTGATGCACCAGGAGTGCCAAGAATTGAAGAAGAGAAGTCTGAGGAGGAGACATCAGCCCCTGCCATTACCACTGTAACGGTGCCAACTCCAATTTACCAAACTAGCAGTGGACAGTACAGTGAGTAATCAATATTTTTTTACTGAAAAAAGAGAAGAAAAACTAATGATTATATTCTCGGTAAAGGACTCAAGTGCTCAGGTATCCCTGAGTCTTGCTGGCATCATTGTATTTCCATTGTTCTTCAATATGCAGAGGTCTGAATGGAAGGATTTCCTTCAGAGTTTTAGTTAGGATTATTCAAGTGTGTAAGTCTTTCACATGTGCCTTTGCTTTGTGTAGGTGCAGCCTGAAGTTTTTCAAACAACTAAATGAAACTCAAGATTTTATTCTTCATGCTGAGAGAGCATGAGTTTTTTCAGATTAAAAAAATCATTCTTTGACTATGCTTAAGGCCAAAAAAAGTATCATTATTCATCTCTTACTAAATGTAGCATTTTAAAATCATCATATTTAATACTGCTACAAGTAGGTGTGTGAGTGGTTTTAGTCTGCTGCTAGCACATTCAATTATTTTATTATAAAAAGATAATATAGGGCCAGGGATTTAGCTCAGTGGTTCCGGTGCCTGCCTCGCAAGCGCAAGGTCCCAAGTTTGATCCCCGGTACCAAAACAAAACAAAAAAAAAAGATAATATAAACATAAAGACTGCTAAAGTTAACAGAATACTTCACTTTTTGGCTCATACAAAGCAGAGATTTCTCCACAGATTTATTAGTTCCCATTTGTGATGTCTTCATTTGACACCCACATCTCTTGCTTTTTATCTTTACTTAAATCTATTATAAACTACTTTTGAATTCTGCTTTTGCTTGGTCAAAGACATTTGTGTGAATAGTATGTTCTCTCTTTCCTCTACCTTTTCCTTTCGGTGTACCTTATACATGACACCCAGCTTACTGGTTTTTTAGTTTTAGCACAACTTAGCTTTGCTTACATATAGTTTGCATTCCAACTATAATAAAAACATTCTCAAGTTGCAACATTTTTGGTAATTTCAAAGCTAAACTTGATAGATTAAGCTATTTGTTCACTAAGCTTAAGGAGTTTTGTTGTTGTTGTTGGCAGAGGTACATCTCTGGCTATATGAGTGTATGTATATTTTCAGTTTATGATAGGTTCATATACAGATAATTTTAGTATTTAAGGTTTGTCTTTTATGACACTGACACATGACCTTTATTTCCCCCTACTTCAGCATACCTAAGATATATAAAATATTCCTGTCAGTAACAGAGATTGACTATTGCAGAATTTCTCACTTGGAACTAGAAAGCATGCTTTTTAAAAAAGAAACATACCTAAATCTGAAAGAGGGAAGTTTAGAGAAGTACTGTCATCCCTTTACATATTTGATTTTACATCCACTCCTCCAGCAACTGAAAACCATTAGTTTTAAGAGATTAATATTTTGAGATTTTAAAGCTTGATTCATTATTTTTAGCCCTTATCTGCTCTCTTTGTTAAGAAGCAATATAATGAATACTCACATGTATAGCAATGTTTATCTATTTCTTACCTTACAAAATGAACATATGGTTGTCAAATATCGAGGGTTCTATTACTATTAAAACACAGAGATTCCTTTATTTTTTATTTGTTTGGTACCAGGAATCAAACTTGGGATGTTGCGCTTGCGAGGCAGGCGGCAGAACCACTGAGCTAAATCCCCAGCCAAAGATTTCTTTTTATCCCCCTCCAATAGTAAGGGTGATAGATTTCCTTCATTCTTTTTTCTTTTTCCTTTCCCCTGTACTGGAGATCAAACTCAAGACCTTGCGCTTCCCATGCAGGGGCAGTGCCACTGAGCTAAATTCTCGGCCCTCCTCCATTTTTTCATGCACATGCTGTCCTCTTACATAGCATGTGCAGAATCTCTGCTTTATTGTATTTCTTTTTCTAAATTTCTGATAGAATCATATAGAACTAAGACATAACAGTTACTTGACTTTTCTTTTTAATTTTTGTCTTATGGAAATGGATTTTGTTGAAACTCAAATTTCTTTGGGAATAATCAAGTGTATGAATAACTATTATAGAGAAAAAATATCACTAGAATCAGACTTAATTTTTTTAAAGTATTTTCATATACACAACCCTTTTTTTTGTTACTGAGGATTGAATGAAGAACCTTGCACTTCCAAGGCAGGTGTGGTGCCACTGAGCTAAATCCCCGACCTTATACAACCTTATTTAATGTTTACAACAATTATACTGGGTGGCTGTTTTTACAGAATGGATGACAGAATCAAGTAAGTTTAGTGATAGAACTTGAATTATAGACCCAACTTTTGCATATGCAATTATCTTCTTATCTTCCACTCCTCTTGAGTTCACTGCTGTGTGGTCCCCCCCCAAAAGTGATAATTAAATATACAGTACTAGATGCTGGGTACAATAGCACACTTGTGTAATCCCAGTGCTGAGGGAGTTGAGACAGGAGGATCACAAGTTTGAGTTCTGTCTGGGCAGCTAAGCAAAGGCCTATCTCAGAGGAGGGAGGGATGGATGAGTGGGTGGGTGGGTGGATAGATGGAGCCAGGGATGTAGCTCAGTGGCACAGTACCCCTGGGTTTGAGTCCCAGTACAAAAAAAAATAACACAGGAAGTGCTTATTAACTCTCTGTGAGAATTTGTGGTTTGATTCCATTTGTGGTTCTGATTCTTTCAAATAATCTTGCAAAATTAATCTTAGAATAATTCTTATACATCCTTTTTCCCTCTTGTCAAAGTAAAACAGAATAGCTAAAATAGATGGGTTTTATGTGCCAGTACTTAATTTCTAAAAGTGTCATTTTGCCAAACCAAATAATAACCACCAACTCTTATTTCTTGATTAAATAGTACATAACCAATTTTTCACGCGCAGATGGCTCAGCCTATTAGTTTTCCATAGCTTGCTAATAATTGGCCCCAAACTAATTTCATTCTAACAGTAACATACTCAAGTCAGGCATGTTGATCTCATATATTTTTACTTTTATCTTAATTCATTTAAAACTGATATATGTAATACTGTAATTTGGGGGGGGGGATCCTTCTCTGTGGAAAAGTTGACCCTTTGCAGGGAGATTTTTTTTTTCCTAGAGAAGTTTTACCTACATTTCTCAATTCTGGTATCTAAAAGATTGTGTCTTCCAAATAAAATAATTTTTAAAAAATTAACTGTCACATACTGTAGCATAAAGATGATTTCAGTTTCTTATAAAGTGAAATATCTGTTAGTTTGAGCCTTGATGAATTTCCTTTTACCTGACTAATGACAAGTGTGGTTAATGAATAATCAACAATTAAAAATTATTATGAGAATGCTGAGATATGTAACAGAAATGCCAGTAATTTTTTTTTCTTAATGATTTTGGACTCTTAATTTTAAACTCCATGAGAGACTTGCAATAACTAAGTTACAGAAGCTTACTTGTTTCTTTAAGTGGATATTTTTACTGGATTTTTTGTTTGTTTGTTTTGGAACCAGGGATCGAACATGGGACCTTGAGCTTGCAAGGCAGGCAGCAGAACCAGGCTGAATCCCCAGCCCTTTTTTTTCTTTATTTTAAGATTGGTTGTTCCTATGTTGCTCGAGCTAGTTTTGAGCTCATGAGCCATCCTTCCACCTCAGCCTCCCACTTAGCTGGGATATAAGCATGTGCCACTGCACCTGGCTATTTAAGCATATTTTGAATATATTTTAGGAATTGCTAGAAAAGTGAGAATAGAATATACTGATGAGTTGCTTTATTAATTAATTGCATTATAAACCAACCATTTATTGGGTGCCTGTTGCGTGCTCACCCCTGTGCATGAAAGTAGAGAACAGTCACATTTCCTTCATCAAGAAATATACTTATGGGAAAAAAAAAAAAGAAATATACTTACGGGCCATGGATTTAGCTCAGTGGCACTGTGCCTGCCTCGCAGGCGCAAGGTCCTGAGTTCGAGCCCTAGTACCAAAAAAAAAAGAAAGAAAGAAAAATGTATTTACTATTGAAGCAGCAAATATTAATATATTATTTAGTTCATGCGGGAATAAAGTACGGATCACAAAGGTAGGACTTCCTAAAAACCAAATAACTTCAAAAAGAATTTGATATTTTTCTACTTTCCTGTGTTTTAAAAATAATTAACAGGGCCTGGGATGTAGCTCAGTGGTACTGCGCCTGCCTCGCAAGTACAAGGTCCTAAGTTCAATCCCCAGTACCAAAAAAACAAATAAAAATAAAAATTACTAACAGGCATTATTATCAATTATAATGAAGTTCATAGAGTATGTTTATGTTGTAAAAATGGAATGTGGTTTTCTTGAGTAGAAAGTTGAATGTACCAGCTCCTTCTTGGTAATGTTATTTACTGTAATAATTTCTCCTAGGATTGTGTCTTGCAAATTTTCTACATTGAATTTAATGTGTTTTAAAAGTCTTATATGGTATTAATTAAACTTGTAACAATAAACTTCATTGGGTTTTAGTTGCCATTACCCAGGGAGGAGCAATACAGCTGGCTAACAATGGTACCGATGGGGTGCAAGGCCTTCAGACATTAACCATGACCAATGCAGCTGCCACCCAACCGGGTACTACCATCCTACAGTATGCACAGACCACTGATGGACAGCAGATCTTAGTGCCCAGCAACCAAGTTGTTGTTCAAGGTAAGGGAGTTCAGAACTCAGAGGTGTGATTCTTTGAAAAATTAAAATTTAAACTTTAAAAAAAAGTAAGTATCATGTTCCAAAATACTATTAAATGTAGTTAACTTTTCTTCAGTAATATTTTCCATGAACTCTTCCATTATTCCACTTGGACCAAAATGTCATGGCATAAAAACAACTATTTTCAGTTTTTTAAATATAATACACATCTTTAACACCTTTAGGATTTTGGGATGGGAGAAACATGGTAGGTTAGAAAGAAATCAGAAAATAGGAAAGATGGATCCTAGATCTAATTCTGCATGGAACTTCTCTCTGACTTTGAGCAGGACCCAGCCTCTCTGATCCTTTGTTTTGTTTTTTAATCATATGTTAAATTGAAAGCTGTACCTATTGACTGATACGAATTTTGGAGGTTTAGAATTGTTTCTTGCGGGCCGGGGATTTAGCTTAGTGGTTCCTGACTCACAAGTGCAAGGTCCCGAGTTCGATCCCCCGTTCCCCAAAAAATAAATAAATAAATAAAAATCGAATGTTATTTATTGCAAGAATCTATGGATGAAAGTTGACCATTTCTGGTTGAATTCATTTGAATACTACAAAAATATAATTTATGCCAGATTAGAAATTTGTAGGTTGAGGAACAAGTAAATTTGTTTTTGAAAAGTATTTTCATTAATAATACTGCATTTTGCCTGTGGTAGGTAATTACATTTTGCCTTCACCACAGAGAATTACTTTTGGATAATTCTAAAACACCAATTAGAGAGTCATAATTTAAAGGACTCTAATGTATTTACAGAACATATTCTGTTAGTAAACAAATAATATTTGAAAAAGATAATGTTTTGCTTATTAATGGGAGTAAAACACCTTTTCACTTTACATGCAGGTACTCAAAAATTGTAAAGCAGGATGTCAGTGAATTTGAATTCTGAACGACAGTTTGAAGATGGTAACATGTTTAGTATATAAATCTTTTCCACTCAAATTATACATTTTACTGATATCAAACATGGATAATTTTATAAAGACTTTCATATTTTCTCATAGTGTTAGGTTTCTCATTTTAGGACAGAGTATTTCTTAAACTGTTTTTAGAAGCAGTTTGATGGTGATTGTTTCTTTTCACAAATGGTGAATTGTTTAGTTAGAAAAATAAAACTTGAGTTTACTTAACCATTATCATTTACATGAAAACAATGTTTACAAATAATATAATTGGCATCAAATCGTACACTTTTTCATACTTGCAGTTTTATTTAAATTAGAAATTTACAGTAGTTGACCATTATGCTTTATTTTCTCTTCTATTTTGCTATTTTATGAAAAATCATGGTCGTTTTTATGTCGTGGCAAGAGTCTACTTGAGATTTTTTAATATGAATTTACCAATATCAAAGGAAGACATTGAGGACTATACTCTATCTAGGAAGATCAACCCAGCTGTGCCCTACTTCCCTTTTAGACTTAAGGTTGGTAAGCATGTTAACAACAGAATAGAACTGCATTCCAATGAAAGATAAATATAAGATTAAATAGACACAGGTTAAGACTTCTTTTACCCAAGTGTCTATACTAATAAATACATTAAATTTGGGTGTCTTTCTGAGGAATGACTCAAAACACTGCTGATTTTTTTGACATTTTGGCCAGAATCATCTGTTCCTTACTGTTTACCTTCTAATTCAACAAGTATGTTCAGATTGATGATTGACAAAGTTGAGTGAAGTCTCAGTGTTTGTATCTTATGCCTTGCTTGCTGTTCTTTTCAGCTGCCTCTGGAGATGTACAGACATACCAGATTCGTACAGCACCTACCAGCACCATTGCCCCTGGAGTAGTTATGGCATCTTCCCCAGCACTTCCTACACAGCCTGCTGAAGAAGCAGCTCGAAAGAGAGAAGTTCGTCTAATGAAGAACAGGTACATATATTCCATTTACTTAGATGTTGTGGGTTGAGTACATCCATAAATTCTGTGAAATGTGTCTTTACATCTACTGATAATAGGATCTTTGCACTTACGGCAAGTATTTTTCTGGTAAAATTGATGGATCCTGCTGAAATATCTTTGTTTGGTAAACTGCACTTTAAAAATGGCTAATAAGATTTTGTGTCTGTCTTTAATCAGAAAGTTTTCTAGTTTCCCCATAGGAAATCTAAGACACAGCTTTGCTATGTTTTTAATTTGCTCCAACCAGCTGGCTATATGAAATTATATTTCATGAGTAGTATTGTTCAATATAGGAGTATCATGTGTATTCACATTAACTGTTAAACTTTTATATTCAGTTTATTTGTAATAAAGTAAATATATGACGGCCGTTCCATGTTTTAATGAATATTTTTTTTCTCAAAATAACACCTAAAAGAGTCCTTCAAAATAGATTAATTCTAAGGAATACCATGTTACTGACAAAATCTTAAAATAAATAGGCTTCAACAAAAAAATATTACATGTAATGGCTGAGAATGTAGCTTAGTGGTAGAGGACTTCCCTGGTATGAGCAAGGACACCCAGGGTTCAGTCCCCAACACCACACAAAGAAAATACCACATGTCAAAAATCAGTGAAAATACAGACAAAGCTATTTTCAGAAAGTAACTGCATTGCTATAAATGGTTTTATTATTTATAACAGAATAAAAGTTACTAAATATTTAGCTTAAGATTTTAGTATGGAAATGATTGAGACAAAATGAAAATAAAAGTAAATAAAGATGAAAATTTGATGTTGGTGAAAACATTCTACTATCCACCCCAAGATTCCTCAAATACTATGGTACAGTGAAAGAAACAAATTGAATTTGGAAGAGTCTGGCTTCAAGTGCTGGCTCCACCTCTTATCTGTGACTTAGGAGAACCTATTAATCTTCTGTACTTGCAAGTTTTCTCCTTTGTAAATAGGGTACCCCACCCACCCAAAATGGTATTCTAAGGGTGAATTTAAATATTCTTCTGAAAGCACTTTGTAACTACAGTGCTCTCTTGAAGTGTTTCTTTTTTGAGTGATTTCATGTTTCAGCAGAGCAGCCTCTTTATTCCTAAAATATTCTTAGCTGTCACAGTATTCGTAAATTATGCTATTAGAAGTGACAGCCATTCTAAAATACTAGGAGGAAAGTTGAAAGAAGATGAGTGACTTATTTGTACCCTGTCAAATCTGTGACTATCTGTAAGTACTGAAGTTGTGATATTAAAAGCTGAAATCATATTTAAATGTTTTTGTTTTTGTTTTGGTACTGGGGATTGAACTCGGGACCTTGCACTTGGAAGGCAGGTGACAGAACCACTGAGCTAAATCCCTGGCCCCTTTAAATGTATTTTTAAATATAAATCTTTAGTTTGAAAATATTTGTAAGGAAATGAACCCTTTTTTAAAATGGCAGGTGGGGATGGTGGCACACACCTATGAACGTCAGCACTCTGGGAGGCTAAGCCTAAAGGATTACAAGTTTGAGCCCATCCTGGGCAACTTAGTGACTTCTAAAGATTCTGTCTCAAATTCTTTAAAAGGCAGGTGAAGTGGGGATGCAGTTCAGTGTTCTCAAGGTCCTGGAATCAATCCCCAGTACTCTCCCTGCTATCCCCAGAAAAGAAGTCTCAAGCAGATGCCTGCTTATAAAATACAAGACAGCAGCACTTACTAAAGAAAGCTGTTCTAAGCAGAACAGTCAATCAGAAGATAAATCTTTTTGATTATAAAATCAAAAGAAATACTTAAAGAGTTCCTGTAGTGGTACGTGCCTGTTATCTCACCGCTTTGGGAAGCCGAGGGAGGAGGTATCACAAGTTAAAGCTTGGTGTGAGCAAATTAGTAACTTAGCAAGCCCCTGTCTCAAAATGGAAAATTAAGAAAAGGCAGAGGATATAGCTCACTCTGGATGTCCTGGGCTTAATCCTCAGTAATACAAAAAAAAAAAAAAAAAGGAAGACTTCACATTGTGTCTAGGTAGTTTGTCTCTGTGGACAAAAATGTTTCCCCTCATACAGAAAACACTAGAGAGCAGTGTGATTATAGTGCATGCCAGCACTGTGGCTTCTTACTTGCTCCATCTTAGAGAACAGCCAAGAACACTGCCCATGGTGGAAACTCACTGACTTGCGACCACATTTCCTTTTTTCTGTTTATTTTCCTTCTAATTTATAATCTCCTCTGTTGCCCCTCTCACCTACTCGGCACACAAGTTAAAGACAGGTTTACAGCTCCTAAGAACCTTTTTCACATGAGCCAGAGAAGCTACTTGACTTATAGAGTCCAATAAAATACTTTTGCTTGGTTTAGTTACACTAGTCTGAAAAAGATTTTCACAGATTACTTTTTCCCTTCATTACCATATTATTGCTGCTTCTACTTATTCAGCTTCCATTCAGTGGAACCTGGCTTCTGTGACCTCCATAGTCTTCCTATGTCTATAAAATGGCTAAGACTCCCCCATACACACGCACTTGGCAAGTCTAGTATTCTCTTTTCATTTAATTTTACCTCTGGAGTATTTAACACTTTTGACTGCTTATTCTTCTAAACTCTTCTTTGGCTCATTCACCTGGAACTTTCATGTATTTCAGGTATCACCTATATGCTGATACCTCATAATTCTGTATATTCTGATTTTGATCTTTTCTCTGACTTAGGTTCTTTATATTATTCATCCCACTACAATGAAGTTGGTTCATATTCCCACTTTATAGAGGAGGAGAAGGTAAATATCTGAGAAAAGTTAAGAACGTTGCCAAAGGTCACATCTTTTAATAGACTGCTAGAACTGAGATTCAAACCTGTGTCTGGTGCCAAAACCTGTGAACATGCTATTTCACTCCTGCGCCTCTAACCAGAGCACATGGCGCAATGTGCTGGGGATAGGCAACACCAGGAAGTAAACATGGAATACTTTTCCTTAGGTGTTCATTTTGTTCAAATATTAGACATAAACACTATTTTAAAAGTTAAAAATTCAAAAGAAATTCTTATCACAGTAATTACTTTGGACTTTTTTCCAAAATCCCCTTCATTACTTTCCTCTGTTATTGTGAGTACTTGTGGAAAAGTTAGAGAAGTACTCTCCTGAACATACTCAATAGGATGACTCCCTTTTGTACATCAAATTGAGCCTATCTTAAACTAAACTTGGATGGGAAAAGGTTGAGGGCCCAAAATTCTACACTATCCAAATTGCTATTTAGTCCAAAATGAAGATATCATTCTAAAAGAAAATAGAGATGTTTGTATTAATGTAGTATTATTACTACACTAACAATCACTAAGCTTGATATCTTACAACAACAAAATTTCTTCCTTGCAAGTCAGTAAGTTTTGACAACTGCAAGTTAGTAGCTTGTAGCTCTTCACACACGGTCTGTTCATGGATCCCAGCCAAAACAGCAGCACCTCTGAGAGAGGGCATTCTTAAAAGTAAAACAGGAAAAGGGCTGTGCTTTTGAAAGCATATATTTGACTGGTGAACAACGTGTTAACTCATGTGCATTGGTCACAACACAGGCAAGGACAAGTGCAAAGTTAGTGGAGTGTGGATACAGCTCTTCTCAGTGGGGAGAGGGAGGAAAAAATGGTGAAAGTTTACCACCCTTGGCATTAGGTAACTTGAGTGCAAAGGGGGTTTTTAAAGCAGATTTTATTTTTTTATCATATGTTTGTAGTACATGTTCACATTCCTTTTCCTGCCCCTCCCTCAATCTCTTGTACATTTTTTAAAAGATAAAAGTAATAAAGGAAAATGTTAAATAGACTTGACCATATAAAAACGTAAAACTTTTTGTTCAGGGAAGAAAAAGATAATGTAGAAAAGCAAACAAATAAACTGGAAACATTTTAACAATGTCAGAAGACTAATGAATTGACTACAAATAGGCAGAATCTCAGAAAATAAATCCATAAATATTAAAAAATTCACACAACTAAAGTGTATTTAATGTAAATTAAGGTGCTTCCATTAAACTGTATATAGCTCTCTATGAAGAATGAAAATAGGGGGGCTGGGGACTTATTTAGCTCAGTGGTTCCGCCGCCTGCCTCTCAAACACAAGGTCCCAAGTTCGATCTCCGGTACCCCAAAAAAAGAATGAAAATAGATTGATGATATCTGACATTGTTTTTAATGGACAGAGTCAGATTACCAAAGAATATGTATATTACAATCATTTTTAGATATTATTATTATAGAAAGCATAAGCTAAAAATGTAATCCCCTTTTAACTGCACCATCCAAAATGTTAACTTAATATTCTAGAGTGTAAAAAAAATATATATTCTGGAGTGTATTTTCCCCTAGCACAAAGATACATATACATTTTAATATATAATTTTAACCTTTTTAGTTTTAGAATGACA